TTAAGTTTTGGTTTCTCAAAGGGTAAAATGATTTCAGTTTGTATTGGATTATAAGGACCAATATTTAAAAAGATTTTTAAGAGATCAAAACCTATAATTTAAAATTTGAGGGACTAAAATTAAAATGAGAGCAAACTTGAGGAAGTAAAAATTATATTAACTTTTTAGAATATAAGTTACTCCTCCGATCCTTAATACTCCTCCGGTCCTTATTATAAGATCCAATTTGACTTTTTATTTGGTCCTAATTATAAGACCCAATCCATTTTCTCTCTTATATTTATGTATTTTTTTCCAAGATAATCCTTCTAATAATGATAGTTTTAGCCAATATACTTAATTAGCAAGGATATTTTAGGAATAACAACACTTATTTATTATAAATAACCAACTTAACTTACTTCCTTAATCTCCTCAAATAAGTCAATTGGGTCTTATAATTAGGACCGGAGGAGTATAAGACTCATTTAACTAATTTGATTAGATTAAAGAAGTTAGATAAGTTAGTTAGTTATAAGAAAAGTGTCACATTTTTCCTAAAATACCATAATCATCATTTTTAATACCCCATCTCCCTCTTCTACTTAATTATGATTGAGGGAGTATCTATAGGGGTAATTTAGAGAAAAGTGATAAATATGAGAAATGAGTCTTATATTTATGATCAAAATCAACTCAAGAATTGGGTCCTATATTAAGGACTGGAGGAGTATTTATATCTCACAAAGCCAAAAAAGAATTCAGAAAATAATGATAACACTTGTCAAACCAAAACAAAGGTGAAGGTAGTATTGATGGAAAAGGGGGGAAAAAAGAAGAACAAGCCATTTTAGAAGAGATGGTTTTCTATTTTCACGGGAATTGCATGAAACTCCGTCATATTCGCGTCCCATTCACGCATATAAACCCCCCGCTGGCCATCATTTTCATATCGTAGCTTATTCTTCTCCTTCTTGCTTCCTTTCAAGTTTCTTGGAGGAGGCAAGTTGTTAAACTTTCTGCGTTTTTCTCTTTTCTCGCATCTCCTGCAATTTTCATTCTCTTGTAACTAGAAATGGCAGCCTCCAGATGGTTCAAGCCCGAGGTACTTCTTCGTTTTATCTTTTCCCTTTTTTCCTAATTCGTTTTCATCAATGATGTTCATATTGTTTGATTCCCGAGAAAACAATTCCAATGCGAACGCCATTTCAGCTCGTTACTTTTTGCGATCGATCTATTAGTAATAGTTGTTCTAACGCCTGACCTGGGTTGTAGTTTCGGGTTAAATATAGCCGGAGATTCTTTTTTCATCGTAAACGTCGTCGGTTAATTGATTAGGAGAAATGGTGATCCGTTTTCTCTCTCTATAAGCCTGTAAATCTCCGAGGAGATTCTTGGTTCGATTTTGTGTTTCGTGTTCTTAAGAAACCAATGTCAGGGAGAATTGAAAAGAAAATCACATTCAGATTATCAATCTTCGTTCTGATTTTTTTTTTTTTTTGGGTTTTCCTGAATGCGTTCTGTTTATTGTCCTGCGAATAGGTTTACCCTCTCTTTGCTTCAGTCAGTGTGGCTGTTGGGATCTGCGGTATGCAACTCGTTAGGAACATCACTACCAATCCTGAAGTCAGGTACATTATATCATGTTAATTAACAGACGCGTGAGTTTCCATTTTCACTTAAAGAAATGACCACATTGATTTGAGAAAAACATGTAATAATGAATCGGGAAGCTCTATCTTTGAAAAACCAAGGAAAAATTATTTCCGAACAACTTATATTTTCTCCTGATTTTTAAGTTAGCGTCAATGCATTTTTCTTTATTAAATCTTTAACTTTGCTTTGTTAGCACAGTTACATAGGCTCATAATACTAATAGTGTAAAGAGACTAATAACACTAAAAGAGCAAAATTAAATAATTTAATCAAAACATACATGGATATCAAATTAAAAATTAAAAAAAAGTATAGATAACTACAAAATAATGAGAGAATTACAACGAGATCTCGTAAAAAAAAAATAAATACAAAAAGTTTTAATAACAAATCAGAAGTTGTTATTTTTTGTACTGAAACTTGTCGTTTTATTATTATTGAAACTTTTTAGATGACTTTACAGCAATTCTTTCATCAATTTTTTATGTTTCTTCCTTCGTTTGAAGTTGTTGTGAACTGAAGGATGAATTGGTAATGTTAATGGCAGGGTACTAAAAGAGAATAGAGCAGCAGGAGTGCTTGAGAACTTCGCAGAGGGTGAGAAGTATAAGGAACATGGACTGAGGAGGTTTCTGCGCAACAAGCGCCCTGAGATTATGCCATCTGTCAACGATTTCTTCTCTAAACCCAACTAACTCACACTGTCCAATTATTTTCATATTCATTGGCTTGAATTGATTCCCGGGAATTGGTTTTACGTTTTGGGTTTTGTGTTGAGAGAGGTTTAGGTACGCTTCAATCTCATTTTTCATATCACTAGTTGTAATTTGTTGATGGATGAGGCTTGTCCATGTCGTTCAATAAATAATAAAGTTTCTTATTTTTCTCTCTCTTAATTTTTCAAAAGAATTTCTATGACTAATTGGATAAATAACATATGTGATTAAAACTTACCTTTTCAATTTATTTTTTCAAAAAATTAATGGGAGAATGCAATAGAAGGATGGAAAAAATTAAACTGAAACTACAAATTTGTAAAATCACATAGGAAGGCTAAGACAAAAAACATATACTTTTAACCAACTAGAAAACATATTCCGGATGTAAATCCTGATATTTTAATTATAAAAATTAAAATCTTAGTTGCATATAAATTATGAATTACACGAGTTTTGTAAAATTTTGAAAGCTAAGTTCTAAATCTTGAAAACCATATACTCGTATAATTTATAATTAATCTTGAAATCTCAGTTGTGAACACTTTTCATCCTCTCACAATTTATATATATGTTATCAACTAATTTTTTTGTGTTTTTTACAGCTGAGTTTTTAGGATTTACAACTGTTATGTGTGCACGAGTTTGGTTGGTGTAGTGAATTTTGTCTGACGTGGTGATCAAGTTGAACAATGTCAAAATCTCAGAATTATTAAGAAATTTAAACAAAATCTGAGGAATTAAATTATGTAAGTCATTGTTCACATTGAATATGTCTTGAGTTTAAATTATATATAATGCAAATTAAAAAACTTCTATCTTTAAAAAGGTACATTGATTAAAAAAATGAATATTACCTCATTAATATAAGTATTAGATAATTAATTTGTGAATATTAAAAAATTAGTTAAATTAGTTATTTGTAATAAATAGATATTGTCTTCTCTAAAATATACTTATCAATTATATGTATTGAAATTACTTTTTCATGAAACTGCTTAAAATATGTAATTGCTATAATAATTATTTGAAGACAAAATGGATAAATATTAAAAACAAAGTAGATTTGAGTTTTATATTTATAATCAAATTGAATTTCAAATAAGTTTTTATATTTGTGTGTACTAAATCATTTTTTTTCAAGTTCTATGTTACTCCTCCGGTCTTTAACATATGACATAATTGTTAAGTTAATTTCGTTCCTAAATATAAGATCTATTTTTTATTTTTACTAATTTTTTCTAAATTACCCTTATGGACAATCTCTCAACTATAATCAACTAAATAAGGGAGAGAAGATATTGAAAAAGATGATTATGGTGTTTTAGAAAAAATATATCATATTTCTTATAATTAATTAACTTACTTAACTTTTTTTTAATCTAATTAAATTAATTAAAAAAGTCTTATATTAAGAATCGGATGAGTATTTTTCTTCAATGTCTTGGCTTGTTTGCTTACAGATACAATTCGGACGAGGAATCCTTACTTACGTTGGGTTGTCGATAGATGGAAAGAAAAATGTTTTGGCCATCATTCATTTATAAATCATAACCATTATTCAATTTTTAATTTATATACATAAAAGTAGCATTTTTGGCCATTTTAAAATTTTTTAAACAAATGTCCTTTCTTTACTGTTCCAACAAAGATAAAGAAAAAGAGTTTTTTTTAATACATTTTTACTCTTCTATGCATCTCGTTCCAAATACACAATGCATTATCAAAATCAAAGTACATAGAACTTATATTAAGTCATCCCATTCATATACTACCTCCGGTCTTATTATAAGAGCTAGTTGACTAATTTAAGGAGATTAAAGAAGTAAGTTGAGTTAGCTATTTGTCTTAAATAGATGTTATCTTTCCTAAAATATCCTTGTTAATCAATTGTATTAGTTAGAATTACAATTGTTAGAAGGACTACTTTAAAAAATAAATACATAAATATGAGAGACAAAGTAGATCGGGGTCTTATATTTAGGATCAAAATAAAAATTAAATAAGGTCTTATATTAATGACCGGATTCAAAGTGATTTGAGGATACTGAGTTATTAAAAAAAAAAAAAAGAGTCATCCCATTCATACATTATGAAATTCATTTATCACATTTTGTATAATGCACATAAAAAATGTCTCAAGCATGCCTAATTAGTATAAAATATTTCATAATCTTGGGGCCTAGTGCCTTGTATGCATTCGTGCAGGGGCTACTGGGCTTTAGACCTTTTTTTTAAAAAAATAAAAATTAAAAGGTGAAACCATTTTGTTTAAAAAGAAATAATAATTAGGGAAAATCCCAAAAAATGTCAATTCGCCTGAATTTCATAAATGACAGATTGAATCAATGACCCATTCTGTCATTTTCGAAATTTAAAGACCTAATGTGAGATTTGGTATATTCCAAGGGCTTTTTCTGGAATTTTTCCTAATAATTATACCCAAAAAAAAAAAAAAATAATAATAATAATAATTTGTCAGGTGGAAAAAGGAGAGAAAAAGAAAAATTCGTTCCCAAGCAGGCAAGTACCAACTTGACCGTTGAAGACGCACCAATTTTAAAAACCAAAGCCAAAAACAGAACTAGCCGTTACGCTGGTTATCTTCAAAGCCCTAATTTAGTGCGCCTTCAGTGTTTTGCAAATCGCATCCTACCAGTTTTTGGGCTTTTTCTTCTGTTGATCGATTCAGCCGAATCCCTCACTTCGATTTCAGAACATAGCCGATCTAGTATCCTAAGATTCTTGTCGATTCAAACATAGATTTTTGGTAATTCAAAGGAGAACCAGGAGATGGCCGCAAGAACAGTCGCTAAAGACATCATCACTCTTCGTGGTTCCGCTGCAATAGTTAGCGAGTTCTTCGGTATGATAACTCTCCTTTGTTCTCGTGACGATTTCTTTCATCCAGAAATGGTTAGGGGTTTTCGAATCTGACTTTTTTTAATTTTTCCTGATCAGGATATGCTGCTAACAGGTGATCAATTCTGAACTTAAATCCCTCTCTCTCTCTCTCTCTCTACCTCCCCCCCCCCCCCCGGATTTCAAATTTTGTTTGGTTACACTGGTAATAATTATTTTGAGTGGGAACTTTCTCTCAGTATTCTTTACAATCGGGGAGTTTACCCAGAAGAAAGCTTTGTGAAGGTCAAGAAATATGGCCTCCCAATGTTGCTCACACAAGATGAGGGTGTCAAATCTTTTATTGCCAATCTAACTGCTCAGCTATCTCGTAAGCCCCTAATTCCTTCTTCTTTATACCGTGACTAACGGTGGTTAATTAGCGTAAGTTGAAACTTGAGTTTTATTTCTACTTGACAAAAGTGGTCTCAAACATATCCACTTCCTTATCATTTTGATGCTGCCAATTCCAACTGAACCGAGACAGAGCACTGTTTTGATGTCTTTAACCTTTTTCCAATTTTATGATTGGAAGCGATTGTAATTCATGGAGTAACAAAATTTTGGAACTTATAAACCTATCTTGACTTGGTAATTATAGGGTTAAATACCTATTCTCTTCATTATCTTCTCAATGCTGCCAATTACAACTGAACTGAAACAGAGCACTATTTGGATGTCTGGAAACTTTTTCTCAGTACAATGCTTGGAAGTGATTGACTAAATTCAGAGAGTAACGTAATTTAAAAGATGTAAACTTATTTTGACTTGGTAATTATAGTGTTAATAGACCCACTGCCCTTCTAGGTGCTGTGAATTTTCACTTAACTGAGAGGGATGAGTAATTTTGATGTCTTTGATCATTGCTAACGATTGAAAAATCTGAATCTCTTATGCTGCGAAGAATGGCTTGAAGCTGGGAAGTTACAGAGAGTTGTCCTCGTTATAATGAGCAAGGCCACTGGCGAAGTCCTTGAAAGGTGGAATTTCAGCATTGAGACCGACTCTGAGGTTGTTGAAAAGGGGTAAAGTAACCGAATTTCCATCTGAATTTTCGTTCTCTTATTTAGTTATTTTTTAGGGAACTATAAATGTAGACACTTGAAAAATGAAGCTTTGTGTATGTTATACCCTTGGAAAATGTATAAGATTACGCTAGAAGAAATTCAACAATTCCTAATTCGTCTTCTTATTAACACTAGCATCTGAAGTACTCTGCTCTTCATTTACGTTTTTATTTTTTATTTGAACTTTCAGCGTCTCGAGGGAAAAGAGCGACAAGGAAATCATGAGAGAGATACAAGCAATTATGCGACAGATTGCTTCAAGCATTACCTATTTGCCATGCCTTGATGAAACTTGTAAGCTTCATAAGGAAGCATCATGAACAGAAAAGTTGCTACCCTGCATCCCCCCCGGGGGGGGGGGGTTCCTTCCTTCCTCTTCACTACAATGAAACCTAACATCAAATGGGGTTCTCTTGTTTCAGGTGTCTTTGATGTGTTGGCATACACTGACAAAGATGTGGCGGTTCCATTCACTTGGGTTGAAAGTGATCCAAAACTCATTGCAAATCCTCAAATGGTGAAATTGCATTCCTTTGATACCAAGGTGTGAGGAACCTAAATGTAGTTCAACGAATTTCAGGTCCTTCGGTTACTTGTTCAGATACTAATTTTATCTTGTTTCTGCAATGTAGATTCATAAAGTTGACACTCTTGTTTCCTACAAGAACGACGAGTGGGATGAACAATAGAGCCACACTTATTTTCCTGTTTTCGTTCTATTCTTGTGTTTGTACTGTGAATCTTCTATTCACATATTGTAGAAGTGTCTAATGCCTGTCAATGTGTGATATGGTTAACCCAGTCTCAGACAGTATAAACCGCACTTTTGTTTTATTGTTCACCTTGTTCAGCGTGTAAGGAACGCCAAAATTGTAGTTGACTATCATTTCAGTTTTGTGACACAGTGATAACTCCAGGCAAACACCGGTCTGCATTGATCATAATAGTAAATTCTTGGTTAAATTAGTTTAATGATTCGTTAACTTTCTTCGTGGTCATAATATTCATGTTTATCGCAGCTAGGGACAGCGGATAATAAACAAATTATGCATTTTGTAACCTCTGGTTCACAAATTTTTTTTTTTTTTTTAAAAAAAAAGAGTATTCTGCAACTTCAGAGTCAGCTTTTGTTGACGGAAAAAGAAAGAAATAAAAATCCACCAGCTTTTGATTTTATAGGCAACCCCTTTAGGATTCCCGTTTGGTCAAGTGCATAAAATTCGTGTTCTTATCAGATAAATTTACTTAATAGTTGAAAATTGACAAAGATGATCTTGTGCTTGTTTAAAACTACTTAATACAAGTATTTATTTTGTTTCACCTAAAATGAAACAAAATTCTTTTCATATATTTATCTTGTATTTCACAAATCATAATTAAAGCTCACATACTTTCCAAAAAGGACATTTTTATCCATGGAATTCAGTTTCCTATAATAGAATTTTTTTGGGCCAGTAGTATGATGGTGGGCCAGTGATGAAGATAGTCACTAACAATATGTTGAAGAGGATGGGCTAATTGTACCATAAACGACAAGAAGAGGATGGGCTAAGCTAAAGCTTCATGCCCCCGCTAAAATACAGTGGATAAACCATCCCCCCCCCATAAAAATAAAAAAAAGCAAGCGCGCACTCACATACTCCAACAAATACTGGTTTTAAACTTGAGATTCTTTTTAGGGCCTGTTTGGATGCTCTGAAACCGTGGTTTCAGAAGCACTTTTCCGCAAAACGAGGTAACGTCCTCCACATATTTACTTCGTAATCCGTAAAAGCACTTCTGAAACCATGGTTTTGTTTTCATCCAAACACTCCCTTAATTTTAATTGAACACTTGGATATTTTTCTAGCAATGATAACTTTTCTAACAAAAAAGATAACAGCACCGGCAATGCTCATTTACATGTTGAAGCTAGAGAACATAAATTATGCACATCTATATTCCTAAAAATATACAGCCAAATATAACCCCAGGATTGTGCTGCATGAATGTCAAAGAGATATATATACAGTCCCCCTACAAAGTTCTCTAGGCATTTTAGCTGAAGATTGATTATATCATGCACCAGTCCTCAACTCACACCACGATACATGGCACCAGGTTGAAGATCATCGAAGTTATCAATGTTTCTATATCCATCAAGTTCCCTTAGAGATGTCCAGCCTCGCCGAGCCAGAAAGTCACGGTGATCTTCTTCGGTGTAAAAGATCTTCTCTTCAGTATGAACATGAATTTGATCAGACTCATCATAGAGGCATACTTTAATGGCCATTCCTGCAACCATAATTTCAAGGGTTACACAGCAAGCACACACTTTGAGTAGGAGCATAAATTTTTCACAAAAACCCTTCAGATTAATAATGAGACCACAAGCCGATGAGCTAATCATCTAGAAGGAGAAGACAAAGTTTATTCCTCCATTTTTTTCAAGTGCTGAAAAGAGTTTACTCCTTATTCATGGGTTTTGTTGCTAACTGAACCTAACTTCCCGGCGCTGGCTAAAAGTTACATGATTCAACTGAGCAAAATTACTGATGGACTAACATCTATTATATTAGGCAAATAAAAGAAGTCATCAATTATTCTTGCTCCATTTCATCCGTCAGCCATCTGTGCATGGAAGCAATACACTTGTTGGTTTTCTGACCAGCAAGCAGAACCAACTAGCATTTGTGAACAAATTTACACAAAACAGAACAATTGCCAGAAGATTGCAATAAGCTTAAAATACCTTCATCAAGGTGAAGAGTATAATTTCCTAAAGGCATATCTCGGTCAAGACTCCTTATTATCTGGTATTCATCCTCCAACCAAAACAAACGTTTGCTTCTCAACCTAAAAGCAGCTCTTATTGCCTCTTTGATGGCTTCTGAAGTACCATCAATGCCTATTCTTCTTGTGTAATCGCCCCATTTAACTGTTATGACCCTCCCACAACATGATTGACCTTCCCCATCTGCTAAAGTAGAAAGATTAAGAAGCAAGAGAAGTATTAAGCTAAAGTAAAATACTACTAATAATAATAATAATAATAATAACTTGGCTGTTGCCACTGATAAAATTACTTGGTTCATCAAAAGCTAGCCACTTTAAACAGTTTAATGTGCATTAATTGAGGGCCTCAAGCCACACAACATTAATCTTTCCTACTTACTGTTCCACACTCTTTGTGATCAAGCACACATCAAACAAGGAATCTATACAAAGCTTACTGCTTATAGGAGTTTCTCGCCAACTCCAAGGAGGAACCCCACTTGTGCCAACAGTATCAGCTGCAGTAATTGCAAGAGGATGTTCATCATGATCCAAACGATTCTCAAGATTGAGTGTTGATCTGCCAGTGGCTGAAACTGAACGCCAGGTACTTGAGTAACATCAAACATATGAAGTGCCAAATGGGAAATGGGTAAATGAAGTCAAACATATATCATCTTCGAGCTTTTTTGAAAAACAAGAACACTTCAATCAGTTAGCACTTTTAATGTTTTCTCCAAATTGGATTAAATAATGATGATTAGTGTTGAGTCATCTTTGAACATCAAAAAGCTGCAAATTGGATTAAATAATGATGATTAGTGTCAAGCCATCTTTGAACATCAAAAAGCTGCAACAAACAGGTACTGCAATTTAGGGCGAAACCAACAGAGGACAATTTGTAATAATTTGAGATAAGTTGCTAAATTACATCACTGTATCAAAAACCTATTTAAAATTGCACCCATTTACAACTGCCGAAAATTGAGTGAGACCCAGTTATCTCAGATGGTAAAATAATACTTCCAATCGCTCTATGAAATAAGAACCAAAAGGGGGGGGGGAATCATCATCACATTATGCCAATAAGTTACCATGTAATTTATTATAACCAGAAACGGCCATCGCATTTCATTATTATAACCATTGTAATTTATTATAACCTCAGTTCCACATGCATATTTTGTGCTCTTCTTGAGGATTTTGAAACTGTCAGTAGCAACAAAACACTGGTCTTTTGAAAGGTTGGTGGCAACGATTTGCGATAGGTGATGTTAGTTTAAATTTTTCTGTCAATGTATCTGTATTTCACCATTAATACCAACCCAAAAAAAAGAAAGAAAAGAAAAGAAAAGAAATTGATGGAAAAATAATGAAGATTTCGTGTGAACTAAATGCAGTCTACACTTACCAGTGTGATTAACTAATAACTAGAAACCAAGGTCCAAAAAAAAAAAAAACTAATAACTAGAAACAAAAGTCCCTCATCAAATTTTGATCAGCAACCATGACCAAATATGAAATATTTCAGGAAATTAAAGAAAAAAATTTGGAGAGGAGCTTTTACATTGATATACCTTCAACAGGCCCAAAAGAAATGTTGGTATCCTCCATACCTGTACAGCCATATAACTAGTCAAACAAACATTTTTTAAGGCAGGAAGGAGTAAACTCACATCACAAGTGACAAACATTAGCAGTGCATGACTTAGGAATGATATAATCGGATAAACTACTAAGAGTGCTTGGTTCCACGTTAAAAACCATCAAAACCATGGTTTTGACGGAAGCTGCCTTGCTTTCACCAAAACCATGATTTTGTTGGTTTTCAACATGAAACCAAACACGCACTAAAGCTTCATTTGCTTTCACCCCCAAGTGCCAGCAAGTAGTCCATCATGATGAGTGTTATGGAATTTGGGAAAGAAGATGAAAGAACGGAAGAGAAAGACGAGGGAAAGAGGAACAGAGAATCAGAGAGACAGAGAATTCTGAGGAAATTGAATAACACTTCACTAAACTTCAACTAATTAACAGGTACAAATAATGTAGGGAGCTCTATTTACAAGTACACATCTCTATCTACTCCCATAACGGCAAGTTTTAGGAAACTCAAACATAACAAATCATAACTGCTAACGGCTCTAACTAACTAACTACTTCATATATACTCCCTCCGTTCCTTGTTATAAGAGATGAATAACTGAAGTACGTTAATAAAAAAAACAGTTAAAATTAGTTTAAAATAATTAATATGTAAAAAGTATAATTTTTTTCTAAAAATGCCCTCATTAATAAGGAAAGAGAGCATGAGAGCGAATAATTAAATTATTAAAAGAAAAAGAAGTGCAAGGGAGAGAGAGTGTGAGTTGGAGATAATAAATATGGATAAAATAGGAAATAAACATAAAAAAATAGAGACAACTTTTAAGTGTCTCTTATATATAAGAACATGCCATAAGCATCAAATGTCTCTTATAATAAGAAACGGAGGGAGTATTTTATATAACAATGAGCACTGGATTGCAAGCCTTTAAAGTGAGTTCTTTTCTTCAGGGTCAACTCACCTTTTACAAATGTTGCACAAACTTATAAATCCTCTAAATCAAATAACAGAGATGCCCATCTTTTCTGCCCAAAATTTTCAGAGTTCAGAATGACTAGCGGATTTGGCGATTATAAATAAGGCAGTTCGCTCCAGTTATAACTTGTAACAGCAATAAATAATTTTTTTGTATAGACTATAGACCCGTTCCCTTTGTGAGAAAAGAAGTACAACCTAACAAAACAATGATAGGAAATTTCATGACAAAACCAAGTTTGTTGGACTACAGAAACAATACGATAATAAACAGCTGAGCAATGCTGCTCAGACAATCTCTCAAAAAATGTGCAAAACACCCACAGATTCAGTCACAGGCAAATCAGAATAGCAAGTTGCAACAAACGGGAACAGTTGATACCTTTATCAGAGAATTGCATATAGGATTCAACCTTTGAAGGAGTAGGGTTCTTGTAGCACACACTCTTGCTCCTCTCTTTCAAAATCTCTTCAATGTCTTTGTAATACGACATCTTAGCGGAACCAGCTCCCCTATCTTGATGCTTCGCCTTCTTAAACTCCTTTAGCAGATTTCTCCACTTATCCGTACACATAGTCGGTGATC